CGCCCCTTCTTTACGAAAAATGAAATATGACGCCAGATCGGCAATTGAAAAATTATACATGCCGTGATAGCATCGCAGTGACTCTCAGCCGGGGCGGGTAAAAGACTCTTCTATACGTATTACTAGTGTTATTGTGTTTCTTCTGGCTCTTGCATGAATTCGTCGAGCAACAGTGGTTCACAGGATATTGTTTGAAATGCTGGCGAGCGCTCCATGATAGTACATCGGGCCTGCGCGAAGCAGAGCACCAGCCCTTCCAGGCGGCGCTGTGCCATTCTCTGGCAGGTTCTCTGTTTGCCGCTTCTCTCCCGCAGTACGGCTGCATCCTGCCTCCCTTAGGAGACGTCATTACGCGGAATGCCAGCCGCCCCGACTACAATGCTGCCCGCCCCGTTATTTAACAGATAATATTTGCCCCACTTTTTCAAGCGCTTTGCCCCGTGCTTTCCTCGCATTATTTGGCGAAACGCCTAGCACGTCTTTACGGTACCGCCATTTCTGTCTCAGTTGCCCGGGGGGTGGGGGTGGGGGCAGAATACTGCCTCTTGTACACTGTTAAAAATAGTTGTAAAAAACATGCGTTTTCGCAATGATACAGCTGTTAATAAACAACAAATTTTTGACGCGTCCGTGCAACAATATATCCTATCTGTTTCGCTGCCCCGAAAGACAAGCCTATCTGGTTTTCGGTGAGCTCTGCAGCGCTGTCTACTTTCCATCATGGGTTCGCTAATATTAACAGTATAAAAAAAGTAAAAATTGCCATTTGTTCCTTCATCTTTAAGGAAAAGGTAGCAGTGGTTTTTTTTTTTTCGTCTTTAATATTGGGAAACTCACAATGAACAGCGCGCTGCAGAGACCGACGAAAAAACAGATAGACTAGTCTTTTGGGAGCGAAACAGAAAGGCTTGTCTTTCGGGGCAGCGAAATGGACAGGCTAGTCTTTCGGGTCAGCGTCGAAATGTTGTTTTCATTTGACCCCTCGCGAAACTTGTGCTATTTGGCTTATATTCACCAACAACAGAGACTACTTGTTATGACTTTGCTATAAATGTGCAAGAAAAGTGTAGTTAATCCTTGTTAGCAACACATTTGTTAGCATCACAACTTTTATCCAGGAGCAGAACAAAACTAAAGTGACTGTTTTCGGTCAGAATCTTTGTTTCCGAGACTTTTTGTCAATGTTGTTCTTCTACAACATGTGTTGTTTTTCTACAACATGTGTTGTTATTCTACAACATGTGTTGCTAAGAACCTTAACTGCACTATCACTGTTAATTCACAACATTTTGTTTTTTAACAGTGAAGCTACTGCAATATTTCGAGCAATTGCCCTAACGTTAACGCGCGGCCATGTTTCCTTTCGTTGCGATGCGATTTCCTCTTTGTACACTCAGAAAATGGTAACCTTGAAACAAGGCTTAATACGTTTCTTTAACGCTATTTTTACCTCAAAAAATACAACGAAAAATGTCTTTAACCTATCGCAAACTGCGTTGGAATAAACTAAAAATTTCCTTATTACCTTGAAAATAACGGAAATGCCTTAAACCAAGGTCAAAATTACCTTGTGTTTTTTTTAAAAGAGAATTCCTTGGTTTAAGGATACTATTTCCTGGGTGTGTCTGAGAGCGGTCTACTGGAGGAAAAGTAGAGGTGCAAACTCGCACCTTTAATGGTTGAGAAAGGTGTTAGTGATTTTACAAAAGCATCAAACTCGAAACTTCTTTACTCTTTACTGTTAGCACCTTGGTTTTTGAGTGTCATCCAACGACATCACAACTCTCTATTCAAGGATGTGGCTGCCATTATTATTTAACTTCCACTTTTGGGCCGTGAAGTGGAATCAAGGGGTACGTTGACTTGCCTTATTGACCTCGTATTCATGTGGGACATCCGTTTGGGGCATCGAACCCAAAATCACATAGCGAAGTTAGTGTTAGGTGACTTTTCATGCTGACTTCTGATGCACCAAACGGCAGTGGCAGGCAAAAAAAAACACGTCATGCTGGTCAAGTCAACTCACTACCTTTATTCCTTCACTGTATATTGCCTACGACCTAAACATTTTACAACGTTCCGGCAAACGGTCCTTTTTTTGTTTTGCAAAGATATTGATTGTATTGCAAAGCACTCCTTTGTCTGGTAAGGAATGTTCCTACGAACGATCGGTTTGCATTACGAACTACTTTGTTCGTAAGCCTACGAAAACTTAGTTCGTAACACAACGCTTCAAAATCCTCCGTAAGCTACGCAGGTTTTAGTTTGCATTCCGAACTCATTGTGCAAGTAGCAGGGCTGTCACGGCTCTTCCTCGTCCTCTGGCGCTACCTTACTGCAGATATGTTAGGAACGTCTCTCGGCGTCCTCCCGCGAGGCGCAACCGGATGTTTTATACGCCTCCGCTGGTATGAGAAATTTTGATGGTCGAAAAAGGGCGGCGCGCCTGGATGGGAGGAGGAAGTGACTGCTCCATCGCTCATGCCGAGCAGCCGAGACGAGCGGTGGAAGCGAGCTGAGCGAACGCCTGGCGGTCTGGAGAAGGGGGCGGCCAATTTCCCAATTTTCCAGCGACAATCTGTTCCCCTCCGCCCTGCGCACCCAGCCACGTCCCTCAGCTTGGTGCGGTGGAGGGTGGTGGCTGATGGTTAAGTGACCGTCAACACACAAACGGATTTCTCCCCCCTCCCGCAGTGAGCGATGTTGGCCATAAGCATTCTACCTTACGCTAATGGAGAAAATTGTTGCCCCATCGCAAACCACCTTGTTGCTCTTACTTTAATGTTCCTGAAAAATAATAGTTTTTGGTGGTCTTCGCAAAGCACATAATAATGATGAGGAACGCCTTATACGCCTCCTAGCTCTCAGTAATAGCCGCAGCCGCACCCATCACGAGCCTGCCACCCACCTCCTTCAACTCGCCTTGCCTCCCCGTCGAGTCAAGCTCCCTCGGAAGCGAAGCCTCGCGAAGTTTAGTTTGCGCTCGCAAACGCGCACACACGGGTGACCGGTCGTCACCGTCACTGCACGCAAGGCAAACACCTAGTCTGTGAATTAGGGGGGTTGTGTGTTTTTCGCAATCTCCGTTTTACCCCTACCCACTTTCCCTCTCTTCCACCCACACTCACTCACTCACACACACACACACACACACACTCACACACTCACTCACTCACTCACTCACTCACTCACTCACTCACTCACTCACTCACTCACTCACTCACTCACTCACTCACTCACTCACACTCACACTCCTCCCATTTTATAATGAGAATGGAAAGAATTATTTTTCACGATAATTATTCAATGATTAAATAAATGCTGTCTGGTGGAGGGCGAGGATTCACTACCACGCCTGTCCAAACAACGAACACCTTTATCGGAAAACAATAATACTAGAAATGCATGGGGCGGTGGACGAGGCCGTGCCTCCACCAATTGATTCGTTCTCCGACAGGCGCATCATATCATCGCTTCTTTTGGCGCCCTGCTGATAAAGCTGCGGTCCGTGAGCAAATGCGAGTATTGCGACGGGTGACTCCACCCTCCCCACCCCCCGCCCCGACCTCGAGCGCCTGTTTCCTGCGAAGCCGATCGCCGCACACAATCTCCACGATACCAGTCGCAGTGGCGCCCCTTGAGCCCCCCGAGCGCCCGCTGTCCGGCTGCGACGGGGACCCGACTCGGGCTTAGCGAGCGGCCGAGCGGCCTGAGCCCCACACTTGCTCAGCTATATGCCGCACCAGACTCTATCCTCTGATACTGAAGCCCTTCCTGCTGCCCCCGAGCGGGCCCCTACACTGGTGCGCCATCCCTCGCATCGCTCTCCCGAAACTCTCATGTGGCCGTCAACTGTCGCCCCCCCCCCTCCACCCCCGGCAACAACACGTCGGTGCCACGCGCGCCGTACCCCGGGTCCCGGGCGCCGTGTACAGATGAACACCCCGTGTACCCCTTCCCCCGCTCCCCGCTCCTCCCCGGCGTCCCAACCCTTTCCCCGCCGAGGCTGAGGACGCGTCGTCTTCTCGTACTCTCGTCGTCGACCTGCTTTGACCCCGCGGGGGGTGTCCTCCGCTCGGCGGCCTCGGGGGAGCGGGAAGCAGAGCGCCGTGGAAAAAGTTTGTAGCGTTTGATTCAATTTTCTGGAGGACAACGGAGCCTCGTTATAGCGCCGGTGGAGC